ATTAGGTATAGATCAAGTACACCTCAGTCAATAAATGCAACATATAACCAAAAAACGGACAGCTAATAACATACTAAGAGATATGTCGCAAGCTTTTACTTTAACAGCTAGTACAGGATACCCACTCTAGTCAGTCTTACCAAAAATAGGATACCCACTCTAGTCAGTCTTACCGAAAATAGTACTAATCCAAGACAAAGGAATTACAGAATACAATCAAAGGCATCCAGATTGGACAAAAGAAGTTAATTATTCCTGTATGATTATCTTTTATCTCTATACACAATCCGAAGTATAGAAAAGGCTAAGACTGGCCTGGTTTGGTGGCTCACGCATGTAATCCCAATACTTTGGGAGGCCGAGGTGGGCAGATCACCTCAGGTCAGGAGATTGAGACCAGCCTGGCCAACATGGTGAAACCCCGTCTCTATAAAAAATACAAAAATACAGGGCATGGTGGCAGATGCCTGTAATCCCAGCTACTCAGGAGGCTGAGGCAGGAGAATTGCTTGAACCCAGGAGGTAGAGGTTGCAGTGAGCCAAGATTGTGCCACTGCACTCCAGCCTGGGTGACAAGAGGAAGACTCCGTCTCAAAACAAAAACAAAAACAAACAAACAAACAAAAAGCCTAAGACTTTACTAAAACCTATTAAAAATAAACAAATGTATAAACTTTCAAAATACAAAAGCAACATCAAAGTCAGTTCTATACATTAACAATTATCTCAAAACGAAAACTAAAAAACAATTCCATGTACAATAACTATAGTAATAAATTCAATAGAGCAGAGAGAATACATTTGCTTCCAGCATTTTTGAGGCTTTTAGTTTTATACTAGTCACCTTGTTAAAATAATTTTTTCCAATATTGCTCTTTTCTTCTGAAAATAAGTACAAACTTATACTCACACAAACTCACTTACTCCATAATTTCCTTACACCTAAGGTTTATCTTTAGACTAATGTATAGTATATTTAACCCTCTGATATCAATACTAGAAGTCTGTATGTGTTTGCAGGCAGACAGGACACATGTTCAAATATATATATACATGTACAAAATTTAAAAATATCTATTCAGGACCCAGAAATATATGTATTTCATTTATACTTGCATATCTTTTCTATTATGACCATAAAAAAAACCTGGTAGTCAATCACAATTTAATTGTAGATATTTTTTTGGGACAGAGTCTCGCGCTGTCGCCTGGGCTGGAGCACAGTGGCATGATCTTGGCTCACTGCAACCTCTGCCTCCCAGGTTCAAGTGATTCTCCTGCCTCAGCCTCCTAAGTAGCTGGGATTACAGGTGCCTGCCACCATGCCTGGCTAATTGTTTGTATTTTTAGTAGAGACAGGGTTCCACTATGTTGGCCAGGCTGGTCTCGAACTCCTGACCTGGTGATCCGCCCACCTCGGCTTCCCAAAGTTCTGTGATTACAGGTGTGAGCCACTGTGCCTGGCCATAATTGTACATTTTAAAATAAGTAAAAGTGTAAAATTTGATTGTCTGTAATACAAAGGATAAATGCTAGAGGTGATGGATACATTTATCATGTGATTATGTATTGTATTTATGTATCAAAATATGCCATATATGGCATAAGTATATATACTCATATATCCACAAAAATTAAGAACAATAAATTTAATTTGATTAAAATAAGGATAAATATTTATCCAACAGGAATAATATTCTTTAACTTATCTACACTTTAAAGCCACTGGCAAGAGATTAACATGTTAAAAATGTTGAAACCATTAACTTCACACATAATGTAAAATTTTTAAAATTTACTGCACTTTAATATATAAAAGTACGATTAGAACAATAATATACTAGTTTTCTTATAATGCAAAAGAATATTATTCTTAACACCTACCTCATACATCACTCAAGAGTATAAGTTAACCACAGAGAACCTCTCCACTTTTTCATCACGCATCTTACATTCTAATGTCCTTACTTGTCCACAGAAAAGATCATAAATAGTGCCCACTAATGGAAAAGAATCTCTCCTACCTTTGATGCAGCAACAACTGATCACATGCTTTCACAAGTGAATAAGAATGAAGAAACAGCAGAAAATAGAGTGTTGAATTACATCATTTGCTTTCAAAGTCTAATTTTTTCAAGAAATGAAGTATACTTTGAAAGTAGTTATTACTCTGCAAAAAACTTTTACTCCTCTTAAAGTTATATACAAATACTTTTTCTACCAACTTTAGTTTTAGATTATTTTCTATCCTCAGAACTCTTAGTATATATCCAAAGTGTCAGTTCCTCATATATTTCTATTATAGATTCTCTGATATTTACATAGCCCTAATTTGGATTAAATTTTTTTTATTTTTACTGCATCTTCAAAAATATACTTCAGCATAAACTGGTGTTTTCCAAGATGTCGTGTTTGAAAAGTGTTTTTCCAAATTTATTACATTTGCAAGCACTTTTCCAATATAAATGCTTTGATGTTGAACAAAGCTTGAGCAACTGCTTCAGAGCTTTCCTCTAGTACAAAATGTGTACAATAAAATCTGATTCAAGTAAAGGTACTACAACCCTCTTTGTTTGTAATGTCCATCTTCAATATACTCTTCTTCACTTTAAAGGCTTATATTTTTCTGAAAGATCTTTTGACACTAATTGCCCTTATCTTGCTTTTATTAAGTATGAACTCTCTGGTGTTAAGATATAAGCAGACATTAATGTCTTTTTTGCAGCCTATATTTGTATAATTTTTCTCAAATATAAATGCTTTCTGTGCAATAAGGTGGTTAAAAGTTTTGCCACATTGTTCTCACTTGTAAGAATTTTTCCCAGTATGAATTATTTTACATCTAATCAAGTAAGGCAGGGAGTGATGGCTCGTGCCTGTAATCTCAACACTTTGGGAGGCCGGAGGTGGGTGGATCACCTGAGGTAAGGAGTTCAAGACCAGCCTGGGCAAGATGGTGAAACCCCGTCTCTACTAAAAGTACAAAAATTAGCAGGGCATGGTGGCAGATGCCTGTAATCCCAGCTACTTGGGAGGCTGAGGTAGGAGAATTGCTTGAACCCGGAAGGCAGAGGTTGCAGTGAGCCAACATCACGCCACTGCACACCAGCCTGGGGGACAAGAGTGAGACTTCATCTCAAAAAAAAAGAAGAAAAAAATCAAGTATGACAACCATTTAAAGACATTGTCACATTCTTCACATTTCTAGGATTTCTCACCAATATGATTTTCTTTATGGTTAGAAAAGTTTGAGGTGTTGTCAAAAGCATTATTGCATCGTTCTGGTTTGTGGAGTTTCTCTCCAGTATGAATTATCTTATGTATGTTAAGATCTGAGGACTAGTGGCTGGGCATGGTGGCTCATGCCTGTAATCCCAGCACTTTGGGAGGCTGCAGCAAGCAGATCATAAGGTTAGCAGTTCAAGACCAGCCTGATCAACATGGAGAAACCCTATCTCCACTAAACATAAAAAATTAGACAGGTATGGTGGTACATGCCTGTAATCCCAGCTACTCGGGAGGCTGAGGCAGGAGAATCACTTACATCTGGGAGACAGAGGTTGCAGTGAGCTGAGATCGCACCATTGTATTGCAGCCTCGGCAATGAGAGTTAAACTCCATCTCAACTAATAATAATAATAATAATAATAATAATAACAGGACTAGTTAAAGCTTTTGCCATATTTTTTCACACTCATAAGGTTAATCTCTAGTATGATTTTCTATACTTTTTAGTAAGAATTGAGGACTGCGCTTTGTCAATTCTTCACATTTGTAGGTTTCTCTTCTGTATGAATTATTTTGTTCAAAAAGGTTTGAGGACTGGTTAAAGCTTTGCACATTCTTCACAGTTGCAAGGTTTCTCTCCAGTATGAATTATGTTATGTTTAGTGGAACCTGAGGACTGGATAAAGGCTTTACCACATCCTTCACAATTTCTAAGATTTTTCTACAGTATGATTATGTTTAGTAAAGGTCTGAGAATTGGTTAAAAGCTTTGCCACATTTGCAGAATTTCTCTCCAGCATTATTTTATGTGTAGTGAGGTTGAGGATTAGTTAAAAGGTTTGCTACATTTTTCACATTTGTAGGCTTCTCTACAGTATAAATTATCTTACGGTGCAGAAAGTTGAGGAGACCATTAAAGACTTTGCCACATCCTCATATTTTCTTAGGTTTTCTCTCCAGTATGAATTATTTTGTTTAGTAATGGATGAGGATTTCTTAAAAAGCTTTGCCACATTATTCACATTTGTATAATTTCTCTCCTGTAGGATTTTGTTTAATAAGGTACAAGGAATCTATAAAAAGTTTTGAGACATTCGGAACGGGTTCTCTCCAGCATGAATTACCTTGTGTCCATCAGGTTGGAGAAGTGGTTAAAAGCTTTGTCACATTCTTCACATTTGTAGGATTTCTCTCTTGGTATGAATTCTCTTCTAGTAGTGTTGAGGACCAATTAAAGCCTTTGCACATTCTCACATTTGTAGAATTTCTCTCCAGAACGAATTATCTTATGTTTAGTAAAGTATGAGAATCAGTAAAAACCTTTCCACATTCTTCACATTTGTAGCTTTCTCTCTAGTATGAATTATCTTATGTGTAGTAAGGCGTGAGTACCAGTTAAAAGCTTTCTCACATTCTTCACATTTGTAGGGTTTCCTTCCAGTATGATTTCTCTTATGTGTAGTAAGGTGTGAGGACTGGTTAAAAGCTTTCTCACATTCTTCACATTTGCATGGTTCTCTCCGTAGGATGAACTTTTTTTTTTTTTTTTTTTTTTGATAGAGTCTCTCTGTCCTCCAGGCTGGAGTGCAGTGGGCAATCCAGCTCACTGAAACCTCCATCTCCCGGTTCCAGCAATTCTCCCACTTTGGCCTCCAGAGCAGCTGGACTACAGTGTGCACCACTACACCTGGCTAAGTTTTCTATATTTTTAGTAGAGACGGGGTTTCGCCATATTGGCCAGGCTGGTCTCAAACTTCTGACCAGGTGATCTGCCCGCCTCAGCCTCCCAAAGTGCTGGGATTACAGGTGTGAGCCACCACACCCAAACTCTTTTTTATCTTTAGTAAGTGTAGGGTCTAGTCCCACAGGGTTGTTGGGTTTTTCTCCCTGTGTGCAGAGATGAGCAATTGTAGAAATAAATACATAAGACAAAGAGATTAAAAAAAAAAAGACAGCTGGGCCTGGGAGACCACTACCACCAAGACACAGAGACCTGTAGTGGCCCCGAATGTCTGGCTGCACTGTTATTTATTGGATACAAGGCGAAAGGGGCAGGGTAAGGAGTGCTAGTCATCTCCAATGATTGACAAGGTCACGAGTCATGTGTCCACTGGACAGGGGGCCCTTCCCTGTTTGGCAGCCGAGGCAGAGAGACAGAGAGAGAGAGAGGACACAGCCCATGCCGTTATTTCTTTGTAGCAGAGGTTTTTAGTACTTTCACTAATTTTGCTACTGCTATCTAGAAGGCAGAGCCAGGTGTACATGACGGAACATGAAAGCAGACTAGGAGAGTGACCACTGAAGCACAGCAACACAGGGAGACGGTTAGGCCTCTGGATAACTGTGGGCGGGCCCAGTGGAGTAGTCTTCTCTAAACTCCCCTGGGAAAGGGGGACTCCCTTTCACGGTCTGCTAAGTAGCGGGTGCTTTTCCTTGGCACTGACACTACCACTAGACCATGGTCCGCTTGGTGAAGGACATCTTCCCAGACACTGGTGTTACAAGGAGCCCTCTAGTGGCCCTGTCTGGGCATGACAGAGGACTCACACTATTGTCTTCTGGTAACTTCTCGCTATGTTCCCTCAACTCCTATATCCGTATGGCCTGGTTTTTCCTAGGTTTATGATTATAGAGCAAGGATTACTATAATATTGGAATAAAGAGTAATTGCTACAAACTAATGATTAATGATATTCACATATAATCATATCTATTATCTACATCTAGCATAACTATTCTTATTTTATATATTTTATTATACTGGAACAATTCGTGCCCTCAGTCTCTTGCCTGAGCACCTGGGTGGGTTGCTGCCCACAAGTAGGGGTAGAGGACCAGTTAAAGCCTTCGCCACATTCTTCACATTTGTAGAATTTCTCTTCCGTATGAATTCTCCTATGTGTAGTAAAGTATGAGTACCGGTGATAAGGTTTGCCACATTTTTCACATTTGTAATGTTATTCTCCAATATGAGTTATCTTATGTATAGTAAGGGTTGAAGATTGGTTAAAAGCTTTGCCATATTCTTCACATTTGTAGGGTGTCTCTCCAGTATGAATTCTCTTATGTTTAGTAAGGTTTGAGGACCAGTTATAAGCTTTGCCACATTCTTCACATTTGTACGGTTTCTCTCCAGTATGAACTCTCTTATGTCTAGTAAGAGTTGAGGACTGGTTAAAAGCTTTTCCACATTCTTCACATTTGTAGGGTTTTTCTCCAGTATGAATTATCTTATGATTAGTAAGGTTTGAGGACTTTTTAAAAGCTTTGCCACATTCTTCACATTTGTAGGGTTTCTCTGCAGTATGAATTATCTTATGTCTAGTAACTTGTGAGGAACAGTTAAAAGCTTTGCCACATTCTTCATGTTTGTAGGGTCTCTCTCCAGTATGAATCATCTTATGTGTAGCAAGGTATGAGAATTGGTAGAAAGCTTTGCCACATTCTAAACATTTGTAGGGTTTCTCTTCATTATGAATTCTCTTATGTTTAGTAAGGGTTGAGAATACATTAAAGGCTTTGCCACATTCTTCACACTTGTAGGGTCTCTCTCCAGTATGAATTATCTTATGTTTAGTAAGAGTTGAGAATACACTGAAGGCTTTGCCACATTCTTCACATTTGTAGGGTTTCTCACCAGTATGAATTCTCTTGTGTATAGTAAGGCGTGAGTACCAGTTAAAAGCTTTGCCACATTCCTCACATTTGTAGCGTTTCTCTACAGTATGAATCATCTTATGTGTAGTAAGGTAAGATAATCGGTAGAAAGCTTTGCCACATTCTTCACATTTGTAGGGTTTCTCTCCAGTGTGAATTCTCTTATGTGTAGTAAGGTATATGAATCGGTAGAAAGCTTTGCCACATTCTTCACATTTGTAGGGTTTCTCCCCACTATGAATCATCTTATGTGCAGTAAGGTAGGAGTAACAGTTAAAAGCTTTGCCACATTCCTCACATTTGTAGGGTTTCTCTCCAGTATGAATTATCTTATGTGTAGTAAGGTATGAGAATCGGAAGAAAGCTTTGCCACATTCTTCACATTTGTAGGGTTTCTCTCCAGAATGAATTTTCATATGAGTAGTAAGGTTTGAGGACTGTTTAAAAGCTTTGCCACATTCCTCACATTTGTAGGGTTTCTCTTCAGTATGAATTATCTTATGTCTAGTAAGGGTTGCAAATACATTAAAGGCTTTGCCACATTCTTCACATTTGTAGGGTTTCTCTCCAGTATGAATTATCTTATGTCTGGTAAGGTGTGAGTACCAATTAAAAGCTTTGCCACATTCCTCACATTTGTAGGGTTTCTCTCCAGTATGAATCATCTTATGTTTAGTAAGGTTTGAGAATTGGCAGAAAGCTTTGTCACATCCTTCACATTTGTAGGGTTTCTCTCTAGCATGAATTATCTTATGTTTAGTAAGGTGTGAGGACTGTTTAAAATCTTTGCCACATTTTTCACATTTGCAGTGTTTCTCTCCAGTATGAATTACCTTATGTCTAGTAAGAGTTGAGGACTGGTTAAAAACTTTTCCACATTCTTCATGTTTGTGGGATTTGTCTCCAGTATGAACTCTCCTGTGTCTAGTAAGGGTCGAGAACCATTTAAAAGCTTTGCCACATTCTTCACATTGATAAGAATTCTCTCTAACATGAATTCTTTTATGTTGACTTAGGTGTAAAAGCATGCAAAATGATTTGCCACATTTTTTACATTTGAAAGGTTTCTTTCCAGTATGTCTTGTCTTATGTGTATTTGAATTTAAAAATTTATGAAAGACTTTCCCATATTTATCACATGGAAATATTTTGCTCTGGGTAGTTGTCAAACACTGGTTTAGTTCATTATAACCTTCTTTGTGCACATTACACTCATTCATACTTTTATAGCCTTTTCTTAACTGTAAATCCTTATGTCCGTATTTTCCATATTCTCTCAGTATCGCTTTTTGGAAAGAATCTTTTATGCCTGGCTGTGGCCAAAGGTCCTGGGCAAAATGAAAACATTTAACTGAAAGAAATAAAAATATCAAATTACTCCACTTACTAGACTCAGATAAATATAGATTACAAATCTAACCTATAACATTATACAAACTACATATACAAGATGATATAGCAAAATATGAAAGCCCCTAATTTTTATAGACATATATATGTAACAAAAACATACTAACCAAAATACATCTGAGAAAAATTATAAATGAGCTAAATGTTTAAAGTACCCCAAGTGAGCACAATGCAAAAAGTTACATACAATAATAAAAAAAAAAAGTTTGTTACATTTACCCAACACAGCTGTTTCTGCTCCTCAACATAACAATGCTTTTAGAAGTAAATTGCCCTGGGTGTGGTGGCTCACACCTGTAATCCCAGCAGTTTGGGAGGTTGAAGCATGTGGATCATAAGGTCCAGAGATTGAGACCATCCTGGCCAACATTGTGAAACCCCGTCTCTACTACAGATACGGAAATTAGCTGGGCATGGTGGTGTGTGCCCATAGTCCCAGATACTCAGAAGGCTGAGGCAGGAGAATTGTTTGAACCCAGGAGACAGATGTTGCAGTCAGTCGAAATTGCGCTATTGCACTCCAGCCTGGGTGACAGTGCGTTTTCTGTCTGTGCGTTTGTTTCTCAAAAAAACAAACAAAACAAAAAGAAGTAAATTGCCAGCCAGGCATAGTGGCTCAACCTGTAATCCCAGCTACTGAGGAGGCTGAGGCAGGAGAATTGCTTGAACCCAGGATATAGAGGTAGCAGTGAGTCGAAATCACACCATTACACTCAAGCCTGGACAACAGTGTGAGACTGTATCTCAAAAAAAAGAAAGAAAGAAAAAAAAAAACACACACACACACACACAGGTAGAACGCACCCGCTGTGTCCATGGAGAGAGGCTGAGGGAGCCGAGCTCCGGCCCAGGGCACTAGGGTGCCAGGATGGCGAAGATGTCAGCTTCCTTAATCCAGGCAACTGTCCAGGCTGTGAGCAAGAGGAAACTGCAGCCCACCTGGGCCACCCTCATCCTGACACCTCCAGCAGTAAACAAGATAAAACAACTTCTTAAAGATAAGCCTGGCCGGGCACGGTGGCTCAGGCCTGTAATCCCAGCACTTTGGAAGGCCGAGGCAGGCGGATCACGAGGTCAGGGGATCAAGACCATCCTGGCTAACAGTGAAACCCTGACTCTACTAAAAATACAAAAAATTAGCTGGGCGTGGTGGCAGGGCCTGTAGTCCCAGCTACTCAGGAGGCTGAGGCAGGAGAATGGCATGAACTCGGGAGGCAGAGCTTGCAGTGAGCCGAGATGGTGCCACAGCACTGCAGCCTGGGAGACAGAGCGAGATTCTGTCTCAAAAAAAAAAAAAAAAAAGATAAGCCTGAGCATCTAGGTGTAAAAGTCGGTGTCCGAACCAGGGGCTCTAATGGCCTTTCTTATACTCTAGAATATACAAAGATAAAAGGAGATTCTGATGAAGTTATTCAAGATGGAGTCAGAGTGTTCATCGAAAAGAAAGCACAGCTAACACTTTTAGGAACAGAAATGGACTATGTTGAAGACAAATTATCCAGTGAGTTTGTGTTCAATAACCCAAACATCAAAGGGACTTGTGGCTGTATAGAAAGTTTTAATATTTGAAATCTCAGGACTCTTCTGGCCGTAGGTTCCAGGAAAGCTCGGGGAAGCCTTGGGGCTCACTGCAGAAATCATGTGACTATCACATGCTTAATGTGCTGCTGCCTTGTAGGGAAAATAAAGTGATGTATCTTGAAAATGAGGCTAGTGTGTTAGATCCCAGAAGAAATGTTTGTATTCTCATTAGGGGACAGAAAATGAGAAGCCATCACCCTCTTTGGATCATTTAGGTCTCTTGCATCCTTTGTTTTAGAACCAGTTTCATTAAAGTTGCCTTCCTGGGCACCTGTGTATCCATTTCCTGAACAGTGTGCACTCCTTAACTCTCTACTGAATGGCTTGAATATGCATCCCCCTCAGCATTTCTCCCAACCAGATTGGTGACTCCTAAAATCTGAGACAGGACGTCCTGACTGCTGGTAGTAGTAACATGATAGTGCATTGTCTTTCCACCCAAACTTAATAAAGCCTTTTTACACATTTTTATGAAAAATTTCATTGTCAGATGCCTCACTGCATACCCTTTAATAGTACCGGGCAAAGATTTTCTTCAACTATAGTACAGATTAGTTCTCAGTGATGGTATTAAAAGGTGAGAAAGACATCATCCGTCTGTTTTTCAATCCATTTCTTTTGCCACCTTATGTGCCTGCTCAGAGATGGGATCTCAAGGTGACTTTGATTCTTTTAGTTGAGGGGTCTGTTAAAGTCATCTAGCCCACCTCCCTCAATTCCCTATGTGAGGAAGCAAAACCCCAGGGAAACCAAAGGGCTCCTATCCAGCCCCACTCCACAGGCCCGGGGAGAGTAGGGACTCTACCCGCATCTCCCCTTCCTTGTAGGTGACACATGATCTGCCCTGAGGCAGTCAGTGAAGGCAAATGGTCTGTATTCTTTATTTGGTCACCATTTTGATATAATTTCTTTATAATTTAATGGAGATCATATTATTTTTATTTTATTTTGAGTGGGAAGAATTTTAAAACCCTTTTATGTGAATTACCATCCTGTTTCTTTCATCTTTGAAACTATGGTTTGTAGCAGAGAAGACACTGTAACAACCCAGAATTATGTTTTTGGAATGTGTTCCTCATTGTGCAAGAGAACGTGGGGATCTTTTCTTAAAATTCCCAGTGTGCATATACTTTATGGTTCCTTGGTCCAGTTGCTAAAGTTGTTAATATTTTAGCCTAACATTTTTATCATCAACGTTTCTTTAAAAGTGTTCCTTCTGTCACTTAGTTACTGATTTTCCTGGGTTTGACGTATTAAATATTCTATGAGATGACATATATGCTTTTTTTGAAAGCTGATTCTCATGAATTCAAGTAGTTGAGTTCCTTTATGTTTCTTTTATTCACTAAAGTAGCCGGCACAAAACACACCAAAACCTAGAGCGGTAGTTTTATGTAAATGCTCATGAGTTTGTATCAATAATATAATTGTTGATCCACTTATAATTCATGCAATATTGCACGTATGTAGAGACTGAGTTGTCAATTTAAAAAAATGTGGCCTCAAAAATAATAAAATAAAATAAAATAAAATAAAATAAAAACACAAGTAAAATACCGGCTCATATATCTTTATTACTTGCTTGTGGGAGCCTTTGAAAACACTGGTTTCTGTCACCCATGACATACAGTGCTGAAAGAAATGGTGGTATACTTTGGAATGACAGTTTGAGTCTGCTGAGATCACAGGTAAACGTTACAGCAGTGAACATACTGCAGTACCACAGAAAGAACACAGGTGCAGCAAGTGATTACTGAGTATTAAGAAAGAAGATAAATAATTTCCTTTAACTAAAAAATAAACACAAAATTTCAAACAAGACACATTCTAAGAATATGTTTGAGAGACTCTCAGAATCTCTAACCCGGATAATTGTTCAAAGTGTGCCAGGAGAAAGCCACATCATAAAGATGGGGACAGGTAACCTTTTTTGCGGGTAAATGTGCAAATTTTAATAAAAGATTAGAATATATACAAAACAGGGCAATGTGGTTCCAACAAAAATATAAAATTTACAGAAAGAAAAATGATGTGTACCTTCATTTTTAAAAGTAAAAATAAATTGAATGATACTCAATGAGTAAAATATGAACACAGAGAACTACAGAAAATCAGAAAACTGGAAATAAGAAGAGAATTTTTTTTTGAGACGGAGTCTCGCTCTGCCGCCCAGGCTGGAGTGCAGTGGCCGGATCTCAGCTCACTGCAAGCTCCGCCTCCCAGGTTCATGCCATTCTCCTGCCTCAGCCTCCCGAGTAGCTGGGACTACAGGCGCCCACCACCTCGCCCGGCTAGTTTTTTGTATTTTTTAGTAGAGACGGGGTTTCACCGTGTCAGCCAGGATGGTCTCGATCTCCTGACCTCGTGATCCGCCCGTCTCGGCCTCCCAAAGTGCTGGGATTACAGGCTTGAGCCACCGCGCCCGGCCCAGAAATATTTAAAATACCAAAAAAAACAAATAATGGAGGTAAAAAATATAAAAAATAACTGAAAAATCTTTTTAAAATGACATAAAAATGAAGAAACTCGACAAACTAGGATACAAAGATACTTAAATCAAACACATATGTAAGCACAATTTTAAAAGTCACAGAAAAGAGAATCTTGGGAGCTGCAAGATTAAAGTGATGTGTTGGCTGGGCGTGGTAGGTAACACCTGTAATCCCAGCACTTTGGGAAGCTGAGGTAGGTGAATCACCTGAGGTCAGGAGTTCAAGACCAGCCTGACCAACATGGAGAAATCCCGTCTCTACTTAAAATACAAACTTAGCCGGGTGTGGTGGCATACGCCTATAAGTCCAGCTTCTCGGGAGGCTGAGGTAGGAGAACTGCTTGAACCCAGGACGCAGTGAGGTGAAATCACATTGTTTCACTTCAACCTGGGGAACAAGAGTGATACTTCATCTCAAAAAAAAAAAAGTGATATTATTTGCAAGAATACTCTTATGAGATAGCCAGTGGATTCTCAACAAAAATTTTTCAGGACAGAAGGAAACTGTGTGGTATAGTCAAATTTCTGAAGAAAATAGTTATCAAGTGAGTATAACACCATCACCAAATTTGTCCTGCTAAATAAAAAGAAAAAAAACTTCAAAAATAACCAAATTTTTAAAAGTATATGGGCACTTCCTTACATATAAAAGGTGCTGAAAGCAGTTGCTTCCAATGAAAATAAGATGATTCAACAAGGCAACACGAAATCATATTAAAACACATTATTTTTTGGGAAAGACATGCACATACAGAAAAATAAATTTCTTAGCATTATCATAATGGCACAGAAGAAATTTTTAATTAATCTCCAAAATTTGAAAGATAAAAGCATAGAAATCATTATAAATATCTGTTAACAAATATACAAAATAAAAAATGTAATTAGCAGTATCAATGGCAAATCTGAGAACATATGTAATGAGAAAAAAATTTTTGCATGCAACTAAAGTTCATTTTTAACCAGACTGAAATATATCGTATCTTTTAGAGGTTTTATGTAATCCCCCACAAACCACAAAGAATACGCCTGTATAGATACAGAAAACAAAATAAGAAAGAAGTAAAAGCATATCAAAGTAAAAATAAAACAGCCACAAAGAGAAACAGAAAGAGAGAAAATGTAGGACAAAGATGCAAGTATCAAACAGAACAACAACAAAAAAATTAGTAAGTCTCTTTGCTTCAGAAAACTTTCCAATTAAGAGACATACTTTCAATAAAGACATGTATTTAAAATTATTAAAAACCAAGATCCAATTTGCCTTTCTACAAGGGTCAGCTGACATCTAATGATAAAAAATATTGAAGGCGGCAAAATAGATTTAGACATTGCATGCAAATACTAACCAAATGAGAGCAGAAGAAGTCAAAATAGTATTACAAAATCTACATCTTAAGTCAAAAACTGTCATATCTTACATGAAGTATTTTAAGTCAAAATTGCAAAGAGACAAAGAAGGACATTAAACAATAATAGATTTATTAACTGGGAACCTATGAGAAATTTGTGTGTGCATGTGTGTGTGTCTGTGTGTATGTCACACTAAGGTTCCAAACATATAAAGCAAATATTGACAGACTGGAAGAAACACCTAGACAGCAATATAATTATAGTAGAAAATTTCAATAACCCACTTTCTGTAATAAAAATAAGACAGAATATTAGTAAGTGAAGAGAGGAATTGAAGGCAGTATAATACAATTTTTTTTTTTTTGAGATGGAGTTTTGCTCTTGTTGCCCAGGCTTGAGTGCAATGGCATAATCTTGGCTCACCACAACCTCCGCCTCCTGGGTTCAAGCGATTCTCCTGCCTCAGCCTCCTGAGTAGCTGGGACTACAGGCATGCACCACCATGCCTGGCTAATTTTCTATTTTTAATAGAGATGGGGTTTCTCCACGTTGGTCAAGCTGGTCTCGAACTCCCGAACTCAGATGATCCGCTGGCCTTGGCCTCCCAAAGTGTTGGAATTATAGGTGTGAGCCACCGCGCCCAGCCAGTACAATTATTTTTAACAGAGAAATAGAGAAGAGTCCTCAAGAATATGAGGAAACACATCCTTCTCAATAGCTTATGCAATATTCTCTTTGATAGACCACCTGTTAGGCCAAAAACAGCGTCTTAAAAATTTGTTAAATTTGACATTTTATGAATTATATTCTATGATCAAAATGGAATGAAAGTATAAAATAGAAAAAAAGGCTGGGTGTACTGGCTCACACCTGTAATCCCAACACTTTGGGAGGCTGAGGCAGCTCTACTAAAAATACAAAATTAGCCAGGCATGGTGGCACATGCCTGTAGCCTCAGCTACTTGGGAGGCCGAGGCAGGAGAATCGCTGGAGGCAGAGGTTATGGTGAGCCAAGATTGCGCCATTGCACTCCAGTCTGGGCAACAAGAGTGAAACTCTGTCTCAAAACAAAAAACAAAACAAAACAAAAAAACTACAATAAATTTGAATAGCCAAAGCAATCTTGAGGAAAAAGAACAAAGCAGAGGGACATCATATTTATAATTTCAGATTATATTTCAAGAATATACTAATAAAAAAGGTTGGAATGTGCAGAAAATTAACATAAAAACCAGTAGAACAGTGACGACTATTCTCACACATTTTAGACATGATGCAAGAGAGAACTAAAAAAATAGTTTAACATAAAGTTTCTCAAAATCATGCAGATATTTGTGTCCCCCAAAACAATGGAAAAGCAGTCAGATTGTGTAGTCTCTTATATGCCATAGAGGACTCTGGCTCTCACTGTAAACTTGAAGGAAAATCAATGAAGGGAAAGTAGACTCCTTAGAGAATTTAAAAGCCTAAGACAGAAGATGGCCCTATGTGAGAGCAACAACAACAACAACAAAAAAACCAAAACACACACCTCAGGCTTCCCAGAATCTATTTGCTTTGGAACACAGCTTCCCAAATCACATTATAGGGACTTGCCTTTTTTTTTTTTTTTTGTAATCTTCCAACCTTTCATCTATGTCAACTGTTTTATTCACTCTCACTTACCTGGGGGTGTGGCTGCCATACTGTGTCTCTTCATATTCCAGGGATCTTTTCCTTGCTCCAGACAGGTGATCAGATCTGGCTTAGAGACATCAATACCTGCTTTATTAAAAATAAATAACATGAATCTTGCTCATATTCTCTAATTACCTACCTATTACTGTGCTTAGTAAAGAGGATGTAATAGAGTATTCTAGAAAATTCATCCCAAAATTCTATTTAATGACAGAAAGTTCTTAACATTTAGAAAATATTTTAAATTTGTAGGCCCTTAATTTCACTACTCAGTACTTATGAATCAAAAATTAGTGGTGGCAAATAGATTTTAACATACAGGCAACAATATTTTATACTACTAAATTTCTGAAACTACCACAACTCTAGAGTGAAGGGTACAGACCAGCTCAGGAATGCAAAAAGTTCAGGCTAAGATAAAACATCTTGAGGAAATTTTTTTTTCTACGCAGATAATTCCTCGAGATTTTTTGAAAACAGGAATCAGAAACTCATTTATGCAAAGCATAAATTACCAAAAATTATTCTACAAAAATGGAGAAATGAAACCTTTAGTGTATATAAGGAATGGTGCATTAAAGTTATTCTCACCCAAGAACACCAGGTTTCTGAAGTTCTCTAACATCACTTTCCTATACAAATCTTGCTGAGCAGTGTCCAGACATTGCCACTCCTCCTGAGAGAATTCTATGACCACATCCCTAAATGTCAATGGCCCCTGAAAAACACACATACACATATATTTACAAGTGTCCATGGGTAGAATTTATCATTTGAATTAAGGTTAAATGAGAGAGTAAAGAAAGTTGGTTCTGACTTACAGGAATGACTGAAATCATCCAACATTCTCAACATAGAAATATTCTCTAATGTATTCTCTAACTCTGAGAAGAGAATGGTTTAAGATCCACAATACTAGTATATATATGATAATTTTATGAACAATAAGGTATAAAACTAAAGGCATAAACACAAACATGTACATTTTTTAGTGTTATATTTGCATCACAAAGAATGAGTAGTGCATATTTTTCAGGCAAAAATGACATGTTGAGTTAGACGGCCCCTCTCAAGTTTCAATGTGAACAATAAACTGGAGATCTTGTGCAGATTTTTATTTTCAGAAGATGTGAAATAAAGTCGGAGATTCTGAATGTCTAACAAGCTCACTAGTAATGCCAATGTGTTTGGCCCAAAAAGAATATTTTGTCAAACATCCAGTAAGTGGAAGAGTCTGAGTTTTACCAATTTTTCTGGCCTGTAAACAAAGATAAGAGTTTTCATTTTCCAAAGATAGACATATGCAAACAAAACCTAAGAAAGAAAGGCAGCTGCCAGATTAAATGTGATGGTTTATGCACAGCTCTTCTTTAGCTACATAAAGATACTTAATAATGAAGAGAAAAATAATGAACTCTATAGTGAAATAAATATTTCAGAGAGCTCTTGAAGTAAATTTTAAAATCAACTGCACGAGGACAAATGTTTATGACGTGCTGACGCACACCAAATAACACAGCATCACTGCTGAGATACTGCCCCCCAAAAAGTATAGTCTGAATTTACCCATACAGAAAAATCAATTTTATGCAGAGTTTAAGATGCAGATATCTTCTACGTTCTGAAATTTTTAATAACAATTTAAAGTAGTCTTTCTTTGGCACCCTAGAAAGCATTGCCCAATAATTTTTTTTTCAGAACTTTCAGGATAATAAATGCCATCCTGTTTAAATGAGGATTTTCTTAATCCTGTTCTGAATAGAGCTAATGAACACATATGAAACCTCAACATTACATGTTCTCCGTCTTTACTAAGAACATTCCCCCAACAGGAATCTTGAGTATCCACATCTTCCCACGTTCAACAGCAACAAGGGAAACATTTTTAATATTGCAGATTATAAATTCATGGTAAGAATTCTGCATGGCATATAAGAAGTCATGATTTAGAGAGTGTAGAGAAGGCTCTGGGATATAGGAGAGAAATATTTTGCAGAGACCCTTGACTATCACAAGAATTTTTTAAAGTAGTTAAACTCATTAGGGGAAAGAAACACAAGCTGAGAAGTAAAGGTTTGCAAGGACTAAATGCATCGCACTCCAGGAGGCAGAGTGGACACAGCTCTTCATCTGAGACATGTTTAGCTGAGGAAAAAAAAAAAGCCATTTTTCCTCTTTCATCTTCTTTGGAAATGCTTTTCAGATGACATTCTCTGGAGAAGTTACGCCTGCATCTTGAAAAAATTCCTTTAAAGGTGTCAGCACCACCTGTTTACCTGCAAGCCTCACACCCACAGAAAAAATAAATAACACCTGTAGAAAAAGCCCACCCATTTCTGTCCTTTATAGCAGCAGAGATTCAGGAACAATGAACTGCTTGATGAATATAAAAATATGTTTCTCTATTTCTGTCTTCAGGTGCCTGCCTTTGCCACAAACACCAGCAATTTCTGCTACAGTAATGGAAATATGGGTGACATTGACCTCTCCCTATCAAAACCAAACAGAACAGTACCTGTGACTACCTTTTAGTGCAAAGGTGGTACTTAACTCTCATGAATGTATCTTGAACCCCACACACTTGATTCTGGTCTCGCCTTAGAGTCACATGAGAAACAATTAAAACAACACAAATACTTTCACCTAGAACAATACACAGAATCTGTGGAAAGGGTACAAGTAAAGAGATTGCTGCAAATTGGCCATGTAATGCTAATGAGAAGTCTAGGCTGATAACCACTTAGCTAAGCATTGCCTCTCAAGCTTTAATGAACTCAAAAACCACTTGGTAATGTCGGTCCCACTTTATGTAATGTGATTTGAAAAGGGTCCATGGATGGGTGTTTCAAACAAGTCCCCTGTCAATGCTGATGTTGCTCCCCCTGGGCTCATTATTAGCATTAGAGAAAACAGGCACAGCACAGTGTCCCTTACACTCCACACTCTTGTCACAATACAATATTTCTGATACACAAAGAAAGATAAAAAATGTAAAGTTTCATATTCTTTGCTGGCTCTCTAAAGTTTACAGAGGACAGAGAAGGTAACAATGTCTGAATAAGTCTGCATTTAAAAAACAACAAGTACACATGAACTAATGCAATGTTTATTAAGCAGGTACTATGTGCTCAATAGTACGTTAGAGAGCACAGTGCTGGGAATAACACATTATGTGTTATTATTTGTTACTATGTCCTAATAACACCTTGAAAGTTCATAGTAAGTGTTCAATAATTCTCAGGATTTAGATAAAGGACCCAGAATTATTATTTTCTTCTCTGTTTCTCTGTCATTGATTTTCTTAAAAACATATGCACTAAAAGCTATATACAGACAGATGAAGATATATAGATAACTAAAAGCTAAATATAGACAGATGAAGATATATAAAGAAACACAGACATAGAAAGAGCTTAATGTAGTTTAGAGAAATTTTTTTGTGTTTATATTTATTTGTTTATGACTTGTAGAGCACCTACTGGATCTGCAGGAATAGAAAAGTTGCTAAATGGAATGTTTCTGTAAGTACTGGTTTTACTACAAAATTAAAAAATTAAGATCTTAAAATGTATAGTTTATTTTTCTTATGTATCTGTTTTTGGGTTTCAGGATATTGTGAACACCAGCTCTAGAAAGTCAGTAGGATTTACCCCCCAAAACTTGAATCTTTATAAATCCATTTTGTAAGGAAAGACTCCAGAGTGGAGCCAGGCCTAAATAAGGCCTCCAAAAATGGTGAATCTGATCAGAACTGGGGCAGGGAGAAGAAACTAGGTAGAACTTGTTTTCTACATCACTGGGGTATTTCCAGTTTTGTTTTTCCTAACTTACCTAAGGAAAACTTAAATCCTGGCCTGGCACGGTGGCTCATACCTGTAATCCCAGCATTTTGGGAGGTCGAGGTGGGTGGATCGCCTGAGGTCGGGAGTTCAAGACCAGCCTGACCAACATGGAGAAACTCCGTCTCTACTAAAAATACAAAATTAGCTGGGGTGGTGGTGTACTCCTGTAATCCCAGCTACTCGGGAGGCTGAGGCAGGAGAATCGCTTGAACCCGGGAGGTGGAGGTTGAGGTGAGCCGAGATCGTGCCACTGCACTCCAGCCTGGGCAACAAGAGCGAAACTCCGTCTAAAAAAGAAAAAAAGAAAAAAGAAAAAAAAAAAAAACTTAAATCCCAGAGTTATGTAACACAATCTATTTTTGTCACTGCTGTCAATTTTATAACATATACTAATAAGCAATTTAAATGTTTAAATTTTAAAGTTTTCTAGGATAATTTTATTAGAAGATAAATATGTATTCTTAGAAAAGTAAAAGAAACACAAATAATAGTAACAACTCTTCAGTGCATAAATATACCTTCAGGTGATAACTTCAGAAGTCACAACAATATTAAAAAGAAGCAGCCCAAGTTGTTTTTGCACACATCTATTCATTGTACCAACCATCTAATGCTTAATTCAAACTTGTATCCAGTTGCTGGTCTAGACTAAAATTTCCTGGATGGTAGGAACCTTGACCGCTTCATCTATTTTTTTGAATGATCGTATGAAACGGAAGCAATTAGTTTGTTTGGGTCACCAGACCTCCTCTTTTTCTTTCACCCCAGTACCAGAAAACTTGAGAAACTCTCATCTGGGTAACAACCGATGTTATCTCTTGGTTGTTATGAGGGAGAAAAAAACACAGGATGTCTCCTTTCTCTTACAACGAGACAGAAACAGAATTAATCATTCTTGTTAACCTGATATAATTCTACCCTTGACATCCTCAAATGTCTTAAGGACACCCAGATGATTAGGAGAGGGTTCCCAGTGACCCAGGGCTGATGGCCCAGTGATAAGCCAGGCTGGAGAAACTCAGGTTGATTCTAAATAGACAATGGAACTGCCTTGGTGGAGCTCCAGAACCTGGATCCCCTATCCTGATTTGCTAGCTTTTGGGTAAGAAGATGGACAAGAATACTAAGCCTCTGGATCCTTTGTGGCCTTGATCTCCCACTCTTAAGACGCTTGTTTACACTTACAGATTCTGTCATCAGATTCTACTTACACCTAGAGCCTCTCA